TTTTGACAAATGAAATGGGGTTCTTAATTTTTTCACATTTCTCATCAATTCTTGACTTTTTTGTGTCAAAGATTTGCTGACGTCAATTCTTGATTTTTTGGTGTCAAAGAATTTGCTTAGTTTGGAGGGGATTGTGGATCAGTACATATTTACGAAGAAACAAAACATATTGTTGCATAAACAAAACGTCATGTTGATGGAAGAGAAACACAAAACACAGATGTTGTTGCAAGACCTACAAAATGTTTTGGACAGTTTCAATGCAAGATCATCACACTTGTCTAATGTTGCAAGCATAATACAAAATTATGCGGGTCTTCCTTCAATGCAAAATAATAGAAATCTTCCAGGAAATCTAATGCAAAATTCTAATAGAAATATTCCAGGTAAACATTTTGGTTAGTTAATAAATTCAATATGGGTTTGTTGATTTGTTTAGTTTCATTTGAATTATTTCCATCTTTAACCTATTGTATTTTTTCTACTTGTTTTAGTTGTGTCTACGGTCACCGATTTCCCTATGCAAAACACAATGTCAGTGACACCTACACTCATGGACAATATAAACCTGTCATCACCTAGGATCACAATGTTTCAACAAAAGAGAAAAGATACGTCAACAATAGATGGTTGTAAAGTTGCAAAGAAACCGCGTGGTAGACCATCTGGTAGGAAAAATCAAGTCCAAGGTATATAATTCTTTATTCTTCTGCAAAAAGTATTCACAATTTTCAGAAGCAATCAATTACGTTCTTACATACTTTATCCTCGTATCTAGGTATAAACACATTGCTACCATCTCCTAGTAACAAAGTAGATTCTAGATCTTCTTCAGTAACAACTCAGTCATTGGTAGGGAATTATGCTCACAAGGGATCACCAATTTCAACTAATTCAGTTTTTGGAACACTCCCCGTATCCAGTCAATGTGATACACACTTGCCCTTACCTTATCATATATCCCAGTCCAGTGAGATTTGTCCTGCTGCAGCAAGTAATGGAGAGGCCACTGTCCCTGGTTACAACCTAATTTCAACCAATAAAGTCATGGTTCAACCTGTAAAACAAACGGTTTACACAGAAGACAATCAGGTTATTTCTCCCATTGAACCACAGAGTGATCAAACAAATAAGGCGGGCACCAACAAGACAAGTACAGGAGGGACATTGGACAAGCCACTTCTGAATGACATTCCTACTTCTGAGTCTGACAAGGACATAGACATTTGGGCAAACCTTGATTTTTCAAATATAGAATCAGATGGCTGGTCCAAAATTGATTTTTCAAACTTCTCTGAAGTAAACGACTCATTCACTGAATGTTAAAAGATATAAAAATTGTGAATCAAAATGTTTTTGACCAACCAGCTTAGGTGTATGCTTTAATTTGAAATATTTTGTAATTTAGTGTTTTCATCTCACATTCTTTTGACATAGTGGAGCTGCACTCGCTCTTAATATGGGATTTGCAGTTTTCAATAAGAACATGTCAAATGTAAACCATCCATTTACTTTTTCCAATTCAGGTCACTATTCTTTTGTTCAATAGTTTGATCTAATACTTCTAACTAATAATAACACATGAATCATGCAGTGCATTTATGTTTAATTTGTATTATTATAAGCTAAAAATGTATATAAGTAAAGAAAAAAAGTAGATGTATATTAAATAAAAATAAAGTAATTAAAAAGTAAACCACTAAAAGTATGAACTTTGTAAACATAAAAAAATAACAAAATTAAAATTAAACATAATTTTACATTCAAAACATGGTTACCTTGAAGATATAAAAGGTTTACCATAATTTCTTTCAGAGTTGCAACATGTATTATGAAATAATGCTATTTTGACATTTAATAAATTCATATAAACTCTAAAAACAGATTGTGAAGTGGTTATTTTAGTGTGAAAAAATCATCTTCGTTAATTATGATCTAAGATTTTTCTTCCATTTTCCATATATCCAAGTACTAATTTATTCTTCGATGCTTATTGGTTCCTACAGCACTAAAAGATAATTTAATAAATAATAAAATTTATTTGAATTTACTGGGAGATTGTATTTGTACTATTGTTTTTCTCATTAATCGGATTCCTAGCCCCATTATAGATGATAAATTTAGATATGAAATTCTTTATAATAAAGTGCTTGCTTATTCTGATTTTATGGTTTTCGATACCTTGTGATATGCTTCTAATCTTCTTTCTTACAGACATAAATTTAGTACTAGGGCTATTGTTGTTGTGTTTATAGGTCATCCTGTTAATTATAAAGGTTATAAACTTCTTGGTTGAAACACTAATTTTTCTGTTTTCTGTTAAGAGCAAACATAGTTGGTTTGGGGATTTTGATAAATCCCGCTTCTTCTTTTCAGTTTTACAGGAACCCTATATATCTAGGGTTCCTCATCTTTTCTTTGCAACATACAGAAATAACATACACTATCTTTTACATACCTCCTTCATCTTTCTTCTTCTTCTTCCTCTGGTTCTCTGGATCTCTCTTTCTCTCTTCTTTCTCTCTGCATCATCGCTCTATCATTTGCTTCATTATGTTATTTGAAAGATATGTTTTACATTTGGGAATTTAGGATTTTGTTAGTTGTTGAAGTTTGTGAATCAGTTGCTGACCTTTTTTGGACGGGTGATGCGGTTAGAGAAAGCTGAAAAGGCAGCTCATATTATGATATGCTCTATAATTTGATTTTGTATTGAAAACTTAACTTTATGAGTTAAATTTTAGTGTAATTAACAATGCAGTTCACAGTTTACACTATAGTTTAGTTCAATTAAGTAGAATTCATGTTTGGTAGGATAAAAAGTAGTTCAGAGTTCAGTTCATCTGAACTACTTTCTAGTTTAGTTCAATTTAATTAAACTATTTTTGGGTTCAGTACAGTTTTTAACAATATAGTTTAATACAATTTAGTTTGTCCAGCCCTAGAGGACAAATTAACCTTCGTAAGCAAAAAAAGATGGTGTGCTTCACAAAATTAAACTATCAAAGGCTTAATTTTTTATTTATTTTCATATTGATTAATCTCCCCTCCTCTCCCTAGTTTTATAACCATTTTAGGAATTATTTTTAAACTATTTTTTAATAATATATCTTTTACGTCTTTCTTATCTTTCCTGGTTTTTTACATATATTCCATAGTATTTATTGTCCATAATCATAAGAAGCATAAGAGTCCTTCTGAATCACTGTAAGAACAATAACATTTAATAAAACGTAAATTATTTAATAGTTATTTCTTAATAAATACTTTTAATTTGATCTTTTCATGTTTTGTGTAAAAATAGAATAATCTGGTATTTATGTAAGAATTGTTATATTAAAAATTTATTATTGAATATATATATATATATATATATATATATATATATATATATATATTTAATCAGTTTAATGTTATTTAGTTAAACTATATCAGATATAATTTTTTTTTTCAATTTTTTTATTCAATCGTAGATATTTTGTTCCTTGATAAGAGGATTGGCTAGAAAAAGAGAAAAAACATCTTTTTAAAATTAAGCTTCATTATTTTTCAAAAGAATTTAAAAAAAATTCTTACCTTTGATTAGAATTATAAATGTTATTTTACTAAAATTTATTCAAATGTTTTGATGTATGTTTTCACCCAAAATATTCATGAGTATACACTCATAATATTTAATAAAACTATAATATTTATATATTTTCAGTAAAATACGTAATTATTGATTATAAAGACTTTTTAAAAGTTATAATGAAGTTAATCAAAGGTAATTTTTACTTTTAGATTTTTTAACTTTTGAAATAAATATAAAAAAAATGATAACGTTTAATTTCAAAAAGATTTTTTTTTTAGCCATCATATTATCAAAATGATTGAAAAAAAAACTGAAAAAAAGCAAAAAAAAAAATACAAAATCCCTAGAAGGATATTTGAACAGATCTTATTAACTACAACTTCTCAACAGGTAAAAGAAATGTTTAAAGTTGCAAAACAATGCCTAGGTTCAGGAAGCTACAAAATAATTACTTAAGCATGAGAGAATCCATTTAAAACATAATTATCTATTACCAGAATCTCATATGTTGTAACATCCCAATTTAAATCAATTTTTCTGTGTTGAAAGCCCTAAAAAAGAGTAACATAAAACATTGTCAGGTCTTTAATTTATTAATGTTAAAAAAAAAATTATATTATATTATTTTAATATTTTTATAATGTTTTTTAAATTGTATACTTTTGAAAGTGTACTATTTTAAACGCAAAGTAGTGGAAGTTTACCAGAGTTTAATAATTCTTGTTAAGTCAATCTATTTAAAAATGTAATAATATCTTTTTAGTTATGAAAATAATGTAAATATTTGTAAAATAATTTTATTTGACTACTTAAAAGATAAGATAAAATCTAGGAGGTTGTTAAATAAGGAAACTTTAATTGAAATGGAAATAAAATTGAGGATTACGTGAAATTGAGAAACTATTATTCTTATTGTTATAAATTGTATATTTTTAAAAGTGTACTATTTTAAAAGCGAAGCAGCAGAAGTTTACCAGAGTTTAATACTTCTTATTGAGTCAATCTATTTAAAAATTAATAATATCTTTTAGTTCTCAAATGTAAATATTTGTAATATAATTTTATTTGATTACTTAACAGATGATAAGATAAAATCTAGGAGGTTGTTAAATAAGGAAACTTTAATTAAAATAGATATAAATATTAAAGATTACGTGTAAAATTGAGAAATCATTGTTCTTATTCTTATAAATTTGAATTTTTCTAGATTTCCCCCTCCTTTTAAATCTATTAGATTCTCTCTTACAGTAGTACTCTTCATTTTCTCTTCCTAAAGTTTCATTTAGAAGGTTCATTTTCTCTTCTAAAAGTTCATTTAGAAGGATAAAAAGTTGTGATTTGAGTGTTTGATCGTGATTCTGATACTTTTCTGGTATTTGATTGGATTTGGTAGTTTTTCTTGGGAATCGATTTTTGTTGAACGAGGATGACTTGTGCGAGGGGTAATGTTCCAGAGTCTTTGATTGCCTTCATTGTGGATCGATATCTATATCGCAATCAATTCTCCCAAACGCGGACTTCTTTTCGCAACGAAGCTTCAACACTCTTTGTCGATTCACCCGTAAACGAGGTTACTCACATTAATCTTTCAGTCTTTTTGTTGTTATTTTTTTTTAATTTTGACAAATGAAATGGGGTTCTTAATTTTTTCACATTTCTCATCAATTCTTGACTTTTTTGTGTCAAAGATTTGCTCACGTCAATTCTTGATTTTTTGGTGTCAAAGAATTTGCTTAGTTTGGAGGGGATTGTGGATCAGTACATATTTACGAAGAAACAAAACATATTGTTGCATAAACAAAACGTCATGTTGATGGAAGAGAAACACAAAACACAGATGTTGTTGCAAGACCTACAAAATGTTTTGGACAGTTTCAATGCAAGATCATCACACTTGTCTAATGTTGCAAGCATAATACAAAATTATGCGGGTCTTCCTTCAATGCAAAATAATAGAAATCTTCCAGGAAATCTAATGCAAAATTCTAATAGAAATATTCCAGGTAAACATTTTGGTTAGTTAATAAATTCAATATGGGTTTGTTGATTTGTTTAGTATCATTTGAATTATTTCCATCTTTAACCTATTGTATTTTTTCTACTTGTTTTAGTTGTGTCTACGGTCACCGATTTCCCTATGCAAAACACAATGTCAGTGACACCTAGACTCATGGACAATATAAACCTGTCATCACCTAGGATCACAATGTTTCAACAAAAGAGAAAAGATACGTCAACAATAGATGGTTGTAAAGTTGCAAAGAAACCGCGTGGTAGACCATCTGGTAGGAAAAATCAAGTCCAAGGTATATAATTCTTTATTCTTCTGCAAAAAGTATTCACAATTTTCAGAAGCAATCAATTACGTTCTTACATACTTTATCCTCATATCTAGGTATAAACACATTGCTACCATCTCCTAGTAACAAAGTAGATTCTAGATCTTCTTCAGTAACAACTCAGTCATTGGTAGGGAATTATGCTCACAGGGGATCACCAATTTCAACTAATTCAGTTTTTGGAACACTCCCCGTATCCAGTCAATGTGATACACACTTGCCCTTACCTTATCATATATCCCAGTCCAGTGAGATTTGTCCTGCTGCAGCAAGTAATGGAGAGGTCACTGTCCCTGGTTACAACCTAATTTCAACCAATAAAGTCATGGTTCAACCTGTAAAACAAACGGTTTACACAGAAGACAATCAGGTTATTTCTCCCATTGGACCACAGAGTGATCAAACAAATAAGGCGGACACCAACAAGACAAGTACAGGAGGGACATTGGACAAGCCACTTCTGAATGACATTCCTACTTCTGAGTCTGACAAGGACATAGACATTTGGACAAACCTTGATTTTTCAAATATAGAATCAGATTGCTGGTCCAAAATTGATTTTTCAAACTTCTCTGAAGTAAACGACTCAATCACTGAATGTTAAAAGATATAAAAATTGTGAATCAAAATGTTTTTGACCAACCAGCTTAGGTGTATGCTTTAATTTGAAATATTTTGTAATTTAGTGTTTCCATCTCACATTCTTTTGAATTTACTGGGAGATTGTATCTGTACTGTTGTTTTTCTCATGAATCGGATTCCTATCCCCATTTTAGATGATAAATTTGCATATGAAATTCTTTATAATAAAGTGCTTGCTTATTCTGATTTTGTGGTTTTCGATACCTTGTGATATGCTTCCGGTCTGCTTTCTTATAGACATAAATTTAGTCCTATAGGGCTATTGTTGTTGTGTTTATAGGTTATCCTAATATTAATGTTCTCTGTTTTGACTTTATTGATCCTTAAGAGCAACCATCTTTTGTTAGGGTTTGGGGATTTTTGACAAATCCCGTTTCTTCTTTTCAGTTTTACAGAAAAACATACAGAAATAATACACACTATCTTTTACACACCCTTTCTTCTTCTTCGTCTGGTTCTCTCTTTAAAGGATATAATGAACTTAAGTCAAAGGATTTTTTTTTTGTTTTTTAACTTTTGAAATAAATATAAAAAAGAATAAAAAAGTTTAATTTCAAAAAGAATTTTTTTTTTCTTTTCATTTTTTAGCCATCCTCTTATGAAGGAACAAAATCCCTATTGAGAAAAAAAACTGAAAAAAAAAAATACAATATCTTTTTGGATCCTCCAAGATACAATGTCTACAAGGATATTTGAACAGATCTTATTCATACAAGAAAACTACAACTTCTCAACCGGTAAAAGAAATCTTTAAAGTTGCAAAACAATGCCTAGGTTCAGGAAGCTACAAAACAATGACTTAAGAATCCATTTTTTTAGATTTTTTAACTTTTGAAATAAATATAAAAAGAATAATAAAGTTTAATTTCAAAAAGAATATTTTTTTCCTTTTTTTTAGCCATCATGTTATCAAGGAACAAAATCCCTATGATTGAAAAAAAAAATACAATATCTTTTTGGATCCTCCAAGATACTATGTCTAGAAGGATATTTGAAAAGTTCTTGTTCTTTTTAAAATACAATATCTTTTCATACAAGGAAACTACAACTTCTCAACAGGTAAAAGAAATGTTTAAAGTTGTAAAACAATGCCTAGGTTCAGGAAGCTACAAAACAATGACTTTAAGCATAAGAGAATCCATTTAAAACATAATTATCTATTACCAGAATCTCATATACTATAACATCCCAATTTAAATCAATTTTTGTGTGTTGAAAGGCCTAAAAAGAGTAACATAAAACATTGTCAGGTCTTTAATTTATCAATGTTACAAAAAATAAATTTTTAAAATTATATTATTTTAATATTTTTATAATGTTTTTTTAAATTGTATATTTTTGAAAATGTACTATTTTAAACGCCAAGTAGTGAAAGTTTAGCAGAGTTTAATAGTTCTAGTTAAGTCGGTCTATTTAAAAATGTAATAATATCTAATGTAAATATTTGTAAAATAATTTTATTTGACTACTTAAAAGATAAGATAAAATCTAGGAGGTTGTTAAATATGGAAACTTTAATTGAATATTCTTATTATTATAAATTGTATATTTTTAAAAGTGTAGTATTTTAAACGCAAGTGGCAGAAGTTTACCAGAGTTTAATACATCGAGTCAATCTATTTAAAAATAATAATATCTTTTAGTTTTCAAATGTAAATATTTGTAAAATAATTTTATTTGATTACTTAATAGATAAAATAAAATCTAGCAGGTTGTTACTAAAATAGATATAAAAATTAAAGATTACGTGTGAAATTGAGAAACTATTATTCTTATTATTATAAATTTGAATTTTTTTAGATTTCCCCCTCCTTTTAAATCTATTAGATTCTCTCTTACAGTACTCTTTATTTTCTCCTCCTAAAGTTTCATTTAGAGGGTTCATTTTGGCTTGAGGGTTCATTTTCTCTTCCGAAAGTTTCATTTAGAGGGATAAAAAGTTGTGATTTGAGTATTTGATCGTGATTCAGATACTTTTCTAGTATTTGATTGGATTTGATAGTTTTTCTTGGAAATCGATTGTTGTTGAACGCATCTAAAGATGATGACTTGTGCGAGAAGTAATGTTTTTGAGTCTCTGATTGCCTTTATTGTAGATCGATATCTATATCGCAATCAATTCTCCCAAACCCGGGCCACCTTTCGCAACGAAGCTTCGACACTCTTTGTTGATTCACCCGTAAACGAGGTTGCCGCATTAATCTTTCAATCTTTTTGTTGTTATTATTTTTCTAAATATTTTTGACAATTGAACTGAAGTTCTTAATTTTTCACTTTTCTGGTCAATTCTTGTTTTCTTGGTGTCAAAGAATTTGCTGAGTTTGGAGGGAATTGTGGATCAATATATATTTACAAAGAAACAGAACGTACTTTTGGCTAAACAAAATGTCATGTTGATGCAAGAGAAACACAAAACACAAATGTTATTGCAAGACCTACAAAATGTTTTGGATAGTTTCAATGTAAGATCATCACCCTTGTCCAATGCCGCAACCATAATACAAAATTATGAGATTCTTCCTTCAATGCAAAATAATAGAAATCTTCCAGGAAATCTAATGCAAAATTCTAATAGAAATATTCCAGGTAAACATTTTGGTTAGTTAATAAATTCAATATGGGTTTGTTGATTTTTTTTTCATTTGAATTCTTTCCATCTTTAACCTATTGATTTAATTTTTTCTACTTGTTTTAGTTGTGTCTACTGGCACCGATTTCCCTATGCAAAACACAATGTCAGTGACACCAACACTCGTGGACAATATAAACCTGTCATCACCTAGGATCACAATGTTTCAACAAAAGAGAAAAGATACTTCAATAATAGATGGTCAAAAGAGAAAAGATACCTCAACAATAGATGGTTGTAAAGTTGCAAAGAAACCGCGTGGTAGACCATCTGGTAGGAAAAATCAAGTCCAAGGTATATAATTCTTTATTCTTCTGCAAAAAGTATTCACAATTTTCAGAAGCAATCAATTACGTTCTTACATACTTTATCCTCGTATCTAGGTATAAACACATTGCTACCATCTCCTAGTAACAAAGTAGATTCTAGATCTTCTTCAGTAACAACTCAGTCATTGATAGGGAATTATGCTCTCAGGGGATCACCAATTTCAACTAATTCAGTTTCTGGAACACTCCCCATATCCAATGAATGTGATACACACTTGCCTTTACCTTATCATATATCCCAGTCCAGTGAGATTTGTCCTGCTGCAGCAAGTAATGGAGAGGCCATAGTCCCTGGTTACAACCTAATTTCAACCAATAAAGTTATGGTTCAACCTGTAAAACAAACAGTTTACACAGAAGACAATCATGTTATTTCTCCTATTGAGCCACAAAGTGATCAAACAAATAAGGCGGACACCAACAAGACAAGCACAGGGACATTGGACAAGCCATTTCTGAATGACATTCCTATTTCTGAGTCTGACAAAGATATAGACATTTTGAAAAACCTTGATTTTTCAAATATAGAATCAGATGACTGGTTCAAAATTGATTTTTCAAACTTCTTTGAAGTAAATGACTCATTCACTAAATGTTAAGAGATATAGAAATTGTGAATGAAAATATTTTTGACCAACGAGCTTAAGTGTATGTTTTAATTTGAAATATTTTTGTAATTTAGTGTTTCTATCTTACATTCTTTGGACATAGTGGAGCTGCATCCTCTTAATATGGGATTTACAGCTTTCAATAAGAACATGTCATTGTAAACCATCCATTTACTTGCTTTCAAATCAGGTCACTGTTATTTTGTTCATTATATACACTATCTTTTACATACCTCCTTCCGCTTTCTTCTTCTTCTTCCTCTGCTTCTCTGGATCTCTCTTTCTCTCTGCACCATCGATCTGTCATTTGCTGATGCTGGTGCCCTGAACCATGGAAGCCCCTGCTGTGTTCTCTCTCTCCACGCGAACACCTTTTTGGTTTTTATTGATGATACCAGTTTTAAATAACTAAAGAAAAATTTTATTTTTAGAGATATTAAATTTCATCAGCATATTTTTCCTATCAATTTATTTTTCCAGTACTAGACGTAATATATTTGATCCTATTACTTATAAAATTATTTCTACTTACAATTCTAATGAAATTACTTCTACTTACAATCTGTTTATTTATTTTTAAAACAAAATAATTTTTTTTAATAAAAACAAATTTCAAAATCATATTATAATTTAAGAACTAAAAATATAATTAATTACATTTATTAGTATAATAATACTTTTATTACTTTTTTTTATCATAACAAAGTTTACCTCAAGTAATTTAAAACCAGTGTAAATATGAAAATGGAGACTGTGAGTGAAGACAAATTTGGACCATATAAGTGAGATTTTGACGTACAGAAGTAAAAATGTCAGTCTCCATCGCACTCAAGTCATCAAAACTTGTGTCATGGAAACCTGTTCGTGTTAATGTTTCTTATTACTGTTTGGTCCCAAATGCTTCAACGATCCACAAACGTAGTTTCTGTTACACTAACCTCTTCCACGCGCTTTTGCAGACGGGGCGTCTTCAGCAAACCCTAACGGGATGCGTAGAGAGGAACGGCGTGGGTCTGCACTCGGGGAAGGTTTCGTCGGTGAGGCTGTGGCCGGAGCTCGCTTCCCGAGGCAGGTACTTCGAATTTCGTTGCCGTTCGATTCCCGCCGCCGTCGAGTTCGCTCAGGTCTCGCCGCGGTGCACCTCTCTGAGCAAGGACGGGTTCCGAATTCGAACCGTGGAGCATTTGCTTTCGGCTTTGGAGGCTTCGGGTGTTGATAACTGCAGGATTGAGATTGAGGGTTTTGATGATAAAGAGATCGACGCCGAGGTAACGTTCTGGAAGCATTGTTTGGTTCCATGGAAAGAAGATGAATAGCCTGTTAAGTTCGTTGTTGAAACATTGAAATATTGAAAAATCGTTAAAATGAATCCTGAAAGGATATAAAGTTGGCTTAG